ACTTGGATCGCTGTATATTTGGTTTGGACTCAAATTAAGATCATTCTCTCGTTGCATTCAAGCACTGACACTTTATTGTCAATAACAATGGCTAGCCCGTTTCTTCTGTAATGTTCTTTGCTGAAGTAGAAGATCTGATGCTCCTCTTACGTGAAGAGATAACCCATTCTAAGCTATTTCGGTTTGCTGGTTCCCAAAAGGACACTGTTCAGTCTTGACCTATCTGCTCTGAGAACACAAAGCTTCTCTTGGTTGAGGGTTCCTACATTCTGGGTACCGATTACATGCATATCCATGCAGTATCAATGTTTCCTTTTGCCTCTCAGCAGCAGCTGGGCACCCTTTTGGAGTTAATCCAGCCATACTGTAAGCACCAGTGTGCGTCCTACTTGCCCTCCACTCTTCCAAGTAGTTTGCTGGAGACCTGCTCATCGTCTAGTATCATGCTGACATTGTCCTGGCTGTGAATGTCCACTTGGCTGGATCCTGGTTGCCATGTCCTTCTCCAGTTGCTGGAGGGAACTGAGGGGAAGGCAAAAGTCTGTAACTTTGTTCTTTCCTTATGACTATCCTGAAAATGGAATGAAGGTGCAAATGAGTGATAAAATAGATGTGGTAAGCATGCGGAGAGAAACGGTGTGCAGACTGCAGCCCTCACACATTTGCATAATGTGCACTGTTGTCCACAGTAATCAGTGCAAATCCTTACGTCCTGAGAGATTGTCCACCCTACTGCAAAGCCTGCCCACCTCCTTCTCAAGGAGAGGACAGAGCCGGGACATCAGCTACTGCAGACCCTAAGGCATAGGCCTCGTTCTAAGTAGGGAGGGGGCAGGAATACAATTCCTTCAGAATTGGTGGGTTGCTCCTCCTGAATGATCAGAAACTCCAACCCGCTCTGTTATCCATACAAGACTTCCATTTCCTCCTCCTTGCACCCTTTAGAATTTAAGCTGCCTTGCTATAGCTTTGTCAGAGGGTGGGAAAAGGGACAGGAAACCTCTGACACGTACACACACTGCTCCTCTCTAAATTACAGCACTGCTTACGGTTAAAGTGCTTTCCAAATAAACAAGTTGTGCTGATGTCTACTGTATACAGTAGCCTTAACTTAACAAACTATATGCACTTTTACTGGTGTACGTTTCTAGACAGAGTTTCTTCAGTGTCTCATTCGCTCCCTCTCTAATTCACATAAGTGTCTTATTGCTATGTTGAAACGCTTACGGCTGCTTTTAGTATTTTCGCTTCAGCCTAGAGAGGGGGATGGAAAGAGGGAAAAATAACTGTTTCCCAAGCCTTCAAGAATCCCAGCACCTCGGTCAAGCCTTCCCTGGTGACTCGTGGTCCATCCTTTCCAGATGCCGCAATCTTTCCCACAGCCAGTTCGCTCTGCAGCTCTCCCTTTCTGATATGGCTGGCTCCTGCTAGGTCCTCAGCTGCAGAGTCCTCCCTTCTCCAGGGAACCTCTCTGCAACCCTCCCTGGCTCCACACAGGGCCTCCAGTCCACACAGCACCAACACCACACCAACCTCCTCCAGCAACTTCCTCCATCTCCTAACAGATCTGCCCTTTTATAAATCTCCACCAAAAGGCAGAGGTACTTTAATCGGGCAAGAAGCTTCTTACCCAACATTTTGCATAGTGTTGGCAAACAGCAAAAATCTCTAACCTCAACGCCATGCATCCATCAGGATAGCTCTCTCTGCCACAAGCCTCTTAACACTTAGCCCCCAAGCAATCGCCTCCAATGGGTTCATGATCAAGGGAGATCAGCCAGATCCCTGGGATCCCATCCGGGACCCAGAGCAGGAGCAAAGAGCAGCCCACCATTGCCTCCTTCAGGCTGCAGCTCTTCCTTCCAATCTCTTCGGAGAGACACCATGCAGGAAATAAAGTTGATTTCAACCTCCCTGTAGCTGTGGCCCAAGAACTGAGCTCGAAAGGAAATAACTGGCGTCCTACAGGTGCTCAGAGACACTTCCCAAGATACAAAAAGTCTGAAACAAGTTGGCAGTTTTTATTGGATTCTGTCATGGAGTACGCATATTTCTAAGATGCAGCACAACCGCTTCCTTAGAAGATAACCGGATTCCTCTAAGGAAGACTTTGCCGCCGCCACCACCACCACCATCTTACTGGCTGTTAACAGTGATCTCACCTCACCAAGCACAACCTCACTTGTGCAACAGGAAGTACCTATAACCATAGGTGGGAATGACCTTGGGAGACAGGAGGAAGACCCGCAACCAAGGCCATGGTCTGGTAAGAGGCAGCTCTGTCTGCAGGTGGGGGAAAGCACGGGAAGTGTTTCAGGAGGGACCCTCCCTAGTTTTTGGGCTGTAAAGGGGACAGGGGGAGAAATGTACTTTCAGTCTTGCAAGATTTTGTTACTGTAACCTTACAGTAAAGTAGAATTAGTTAATCTGGGTGTGCTTCTTGTCTGGACTCCCTTGCAAGGCTGACATCAATCTCGCAAGACTGAAAAAAAATATTTTTTCCCTTCTCTCTTTTTAGTTTCCAGAAAACTAGGGAGGGTCCCTCCTGAAGTGCTTTCCCCCCGCCTGTCGCCTGAGTTGCCTTTTACCAGACCGTTGCCGAGGGTGCAGATCTTCCTCCTGCTTCCCAAGGTCATTCCCACATACCATTAGAGTACCAGAAGGAGGATGCGAAGACTCCCTTCAAGTAGAATGTGGTTTGATGGTAAGCTCGGATTGATAGGACTTACTTGATCCACAAAGTATTCTACATGCAGGTCTCCATCGGCCTGTACTAGATTCCCCCAGAAGCCAGACCACCAAAAGTTTCTCCCCACCCTGATCACCACTTCCCAAGGCAATGGCCAAGCAATGACAATGCCTGCTCTGGAGGAGGAGCAGTAAGCTCTCACTTGAGGCCAGCAAGAGATGACATTTAATAGCAACCACGTCAATAGCTGGGGCAGCTTCACACACCTTGAATCATCTGCTTCAGAGCCAAAGCCTTCTAATCCCTTTAAGAAACCAGAAACACCATGAGGCTAAATTCAGCCTGAACAATTGCATGCACTGGGGGACACAGGTGGATCAATTCGCAGAAAATGCTTGAAAGTATCTATGGTTGGTGTGACAAGACACACTGATTCCACCCTAATGACGCACAAGCAAGGGGGACAAGGCTTCTGGGATTCAAAACCAAGCAGGAGCAAGATGGGCCAGACCCTCCAACAACCAGATCTCACCTGTATTCCTGCGGGTTCAACTTAATAGCTTCAGTAAACAGAAGCACAGCCTCGTGATAGCGCCCCTGCCTTGCAGTTTCGTTTCCACAATCTGGAGCAGGAGAAAAGGATTGTAGAAAAGGAGGAAAATGATATTGCAGATGTGGAATTAACCTTTCTGACCACCTAGATGAAAGCTGGGCAACTTACAGTTCCCCAAAATGTCTCTGCATAGCCTCCAGGGCCCCTGGATCACTCTGCCAAAATTCTTAATGCAGGAAATACAGGAAAATCATGCCATAGTGGATGCCCAATCTGGACTTAGGAGTTTTTAAAAAGAAAAAAAGCCCCCCCCAAAAATTAACCTTCCATCCAGATCTATCCACTTCACATCGTGACCCTGCCCATAATGGCTCTTCCCCTCACCCAACTTCCCAAAATTACCCACCCTTGACCTAAGACCAATGCTTTATACAGATCAATATATAAAAATCATCTCTTTATATAGACTAATGCAAGCAAAACAGGCCTACAAGGGACCCCTAGGGAGGGACTTACAACCCCGTGGGACACGGGAGCAGGTGTTCTTCCATCACACAGAATCACCCAATTGAAAGGGGGCACTAGGGCCCCAAAATCTAACCCAGGCACAGGAATCTGACCCAAGCAGCTCTGGTTCTGCTTGAAGGGGTGCCATTATCATCACCAGCCATCTGTCCCCAAGGCTCCTTCAATCTCTTTTCACAGAACTTAGTTTCACGTCCCCTGCTCATCACTGGCTTCCTCTGACCACGTCCCAATTTTTCTAAATCTTTCTAAAGCATAGCGCCCAGAACGGGACGTGGTAGCTGAGCTGAAGCCCGACCAAGGCAGAATCAGCTGACGTAGTAACTCTCTGGGATTTAGAAATTATACTTCTGCTGATGCAACCTAACCCTATGTTGGCTTCTTTGCAGCCATATTACACTGCTGCTCGTATTCAATTTCCCATCAAATATTATTCCAAAATATTTTTCACTATTATCGTTATCAAGCCAGGTCCTCCATTCTATAGCCATATATTTGATTTTTGTTTTTTCAGTGAAAGATTTGGTTAAATTTCATTCTGTTAATTTTAGCTCATTTCTCTAACCTACCTGGATAATTTTAAATTTAATTTCTGCCTTCTAGGGAATTAGCTATCCCCCCCCCTCAAGGTTATGTTATCTAAAAATGTGATAAGCACTCTCTGTTGCTTCATCCAGTTTAATAGAAGACCCAGGATTGAATTATGTGGGACCTCAATTTCTTCAATATGATGAGGAACTATCAAATCAAGAACACCACCTACTTAGTCTGGCTTATACAGGCATGGAAAGGCCAGAGAACATCAAGTTTGGTGGGAAGAAAATGCAAGAAGACACATCACCTGCCTCTGCCTCTCCCTGCTCACCTGCCAGAACCATGCTCTGCTCCACAGGAGTCAACTGGAGCTCAGGCCTTTGGAGCTGGAAGAAGAAAAAGAAACCTGACTTTGCCATCCAGCCTATGTCACAGCTAATTTGAGAGGTTGTGAGTTTTCTTGGCTATTTTTATATTATTTTTGTTGTTTCTGGTTGTTTTTTACTGTTTTTATTTTAAGTGTGAGCCACCCAGAGTCATGCATATGAGATGACTGGCCTATGAATGAATGAATGAATGAATGGGAGGGAGGGAGGGCTCTTGAAATCATACATTTCTGCAATTCTACTGAATGGAACTTGGAAAATAACCACAAACCCAATTCCTAACATCTCAAATTCACTGCTGCCCGTTTTTACATTCCCAGAATTCCCACACAAGGCACCCATAAAAGAAAAGGAAGACTGAGTATTTTCACACTGGGTGGGTAGCCTAGTAGTCCAGACGTATCTGGAGGCCATTAGATTATGAAGGCTGGTTTCCAGAATAAGAAACAAACAATTCACCAACAGGTGGGGGGTTGTTTTTTGTTCTCTGCTTGCTGAAAGCCTATGAAACAGCTCTAGTGGAACATGGGGGAACACCCACCTCCCCAACCACTCCTTTACCGCTCCACCATGAATTGTGCCAACCAGCTGCAGACCTGAGGGGGGAGCAAGTGCCAATCATAAAGCAACATGGATCTAAATACTCAAAACTCTACAATTTTTCAGCCACAGCCAGGCTTTCCCTGGTAACGGGTTTCCTTTCAAATCACGTGAGCTGAGAAAAGGAAGAAACCTTGGCTTCGTGACAGACTGAAACCGTCAATCTGCTCAGAGGGTGAAATCCACACTCAGCACTACTGAGAAAGGTGCTGATGCCTTGTAGAAATCCATGGCAATGGCACATGGAAAATTGTGCAAGGATCCTGCAACACTGAAGAGCAAGCAAAATACTTTAGGGACAGGAGAAGCACCACTGTTATGAAAAGCTACCACTTTTTAGATTCTTAGCTTTGGGGGAAAAAAAAGTTGGCTGATCAATTTATACATGGCATGGAGAAATTAGAAGCAATCTCCTATAGACCAGAACGTATGATGAAACTAGTGAGCTAATAGGGAAATCTTACAGCAACTATGGAATTTCATTCCCCAAAGATGGAGTGCCAACTTCAATAGAAAATCTGACCATGGAAAACCAACACTGATGGCTGCCAGTCAGAGATGCTCCCTCGATGATCCGTGTGTGGGAAACAGGAGCGGGGGGGGGGCGGGTTCTAGTCTGCTTTGAGGGAGTCTCACCCATGTCAGGCGGCTACCCTCAGAACAGGATGCTGGCCGGGAGAGGCGCCTGACCTCACCTCTGGCTTGTGTTTTGTCTCTGCCTTCCTCCCCCTGGAGAGCTTGCTTCCCTTCTCCTTCCGTGGAAGCAGGGGCTGGGCGCCCACCTTGAGGCGAGCTTTGGAGACAAAAGTGCTGGACAAATCCAGTTCCTCCTGTGGGTAAGAGAAGGAAAACAGCAGCAAAGCACTGAGCAAGAGCATTTTCGCTGCCCCCCCAGGAATTCCTTCCCTTTCTACGGAAAACTGAATCAGTACCTGCTGCCACCTTGTATGATACCAAAACCTAGTAACAGGGCAAACGCCATTTCATTGCAGTTTTAATGGTTTTATGTTGGCTGTCGTAACAGCTGGTGGAGATAAACATCTCCTCCCGCACTCTAAGGTGGGGCTCAATTCTAGAAACAAAGAGAAGCCACACGGGACCAGATACCTTCACCCCCCTACAATAATATACTGTCTGTATCAGTTGGAAGCCGGAACAGACTATGTTTGCCACATGACTATCTATCCGTGGCCTTGAAAAAAGGTCCCGGGGAAGGGATCCAGATTAAGACTGAGAGACAAAGGGGAGAATCCTACATTTCCTCTTCCCATATTTGGTTCCCCGTGAAAAACCACTTGGTTAAACTTTACTTTTGCTATAACTTTGCTTTCACAGACCAAGAGTGTTTTGCGCATGGGGATATATTCTCAGGAAGAAAGGAACAAGGAGTAAGACTTACAAAAAAAAAAATGCAGCTTTGTTCAAGGAATGACGACCATGAGCAACATTTTACAACATAAAGTTATCCTTAATAAAGGAACTGTCCAAAACATGCAAGAAAATAAACATAGAACCCAGAGTACAAGATGGATACTCTTCTTCAGGTTCAGCACCAAGGAACCCACACAGGCTGCAGAGAACATCTGGAACGAAAAAGCCCTCGAGTTGCAGGTTCCTCTTCGGATGACTGGGCTGGGTCTTCCGGACCCCTTTTCCTCCTCACCTCAGCCTCCTCCTCCTCCGTACTCCTGCTGGGGCTCCTGCCTGGGGAGGCCTCAATGAAACTCCCCTCCCCGTCATCCAACGTGCTTGGAATGGCCGCCAAAGGGCCCTCATCTTGCCCATCTGAAGATTTGTTCTATGAAGAAAGAAACGTGACCTTGAAGGAGCTAAAAATTAACCTGCCATCTGGACAGATCAATGGGAATATTTGCAGAGCTGGAATCCAGCACAATCCGCTCCCAGTCAGGTCTCTCTCCAAGAGGAGCTGGTTGTTGGAGCGCACTTAGCATAGCGCTGGCACTGAGAGAGATTTCCCAACAGGGCTAGTCTCTGATTAAGGCTGAGCTCCACCCAGCCCCCACTGCAGGCACAAGGCCCACTGGGCACGCGCTGAAGCACAGCCAGGCAATTCACTCACTGCCTCGCTCTTTGCCTTTAACTCCAGGTTACGCCTCTCCTGCCTCTTCCGGTCCTTCTGCCTCTGAGGATAAAAAAGAAAGCATCGGGTTTCCCGGCCACTTGGCTCCCACCATTCCAAGAGGCAAGCTAGCCTCATTGCCACCATGCTGCATGGGCAGGGTTACCTTCTTCTTCACTCTTTTCTTCTCAGCCTTCTTCTTGAGACGTTCCTCCTCAGCAACCAGCAATTCTGCATTCCGCTCAGCCTCCTGAAACAGAGCACGGACCAGCCTCCTCACCCACCAAGCTGCTGTTACGCCACGCTCCTCTCTCCCACGAACAGCTGAGCAAGAAGCAAGCAGAAAGCTGAGGGGCACCATCTCCTGTGGGCCAAGGGCTATGCCTGGCCACTGACTGGCACCAAGTACCACCTTACTTACATGCCAGCAAGTAAGCAGCAGCGCCACAGGAACAGAATCTAATTTCGTTAAAAAGGAATCAGTACAATGAACGTGGCTCTGCTTAAGTAGGGCATAACATTTGACACGTTAAAATGACGATTCATCAGCAGCCTCTGGAACTCTCTGGGAAGGCATGTGTGGCCTTGTTTAAATCAACAGCTTCAGGGAATGTGGCAGATCAGACCGGGGAGCTTCCAGTGTATGGGGCAGCCGTGAAGGGAAGGCTGACCGTCCAGGTGGCCAAGAATGGGGGACGGCACACCTCCTCAGGAATCCAGGCAGAGAAAGAAGCCTGAGCATGGAGCAAAAGGTCACAGAAACAGAAGGGATGCCTTGGAGCTGGAAAAAGCAAACGGGATGCGAGTAAGTGGTGACTCACCTCAGCTGTAAGCTGCTGTTTCTGGGGCAGAGCAAGGTCCAGTAGTGCAAAGTCCTGACTGGTGCCATGGGGAGGGAGAGGTGCAGAAGGCTGGCAAAGAAAGGACCTCCGAAAACCACAGAACGTGGTGTGACTAGCCTTCTGAACTCTTTCGTCATTGTCGTCGTCGTCCTCCTCCGCTTCCTCGCTGCAGTCTTCCCAGTTCTCGTACCAGGAGCAGTCATCCACGCAGTACCAGCAGGGCTCTCCATTCACATCTGAAAAGGGACCCCCAGGAGGCTTGAGTAAGCAAGATGGAAGCGGATCTGACTGAACCTTTAAAACAGGTCTCAGCAATCCAGTGTTACTGGCACAAAGGAATGCAGCTTGGACCTCAGGGACAGAGAAGGAACGAGCAAGCCGTTAAAGGGAGACCCACAGAAAAGCAGGTGGAAAGGGAGAGAGAGGAAGTCAGCCAGAATAGCCCCTAACGGTCTTGCTCAGCGTAAGCTGGCAGAGCGAAGGACGCAGCGGCAGGTTTCAAGATTCTGTAACTCTATCCTACAACCACGAAGGGCGTTCCTGGAATCCCGAACCCAACCCGGCCTTCCTGAAGGTCTGTAGGCCCCCAACTGCACCGGTGGGACATCCAAACCCTGGTTCCTAAAGTTAAGAGGAAGCGCAGAAAGGATTTGCCTGCTGGCCAAGCGGGTTCTTTTCGCGAAGCCCCCACCGGTCACTTCGGGAGGCCGAGACAGGCCGAGCAGGGCTGTTCCCA